TCGCCCGGCGACAGGGCTGGAGGCGACGCGGCGGCGCGGGTTTCCTAAGGCAGGGCGGTGGGTAGAGGCCGCGGGGATAGCCGGAGCCGGGAGCCACCGGGCGCCGCGCAGGTAACGAGCGGGCCGGGAGGGGTTGGGGTCGGGGCGCTGGTCCCCACTCTTAGCGGGGCCTGGCCTAGGGGGTGTGTGGGGGGGCAGGTAGCCGGCTGCTCCCCGGGCCCTCCCCTCCCTTCCCGGCGGCTGCAAACTTCGCCGCCGCTTCTTCTCGTCCGACCCTCCGTGCCTGCGTGGTGATTCAGCAGATGTGAAGCGCTGTGGGGGCCCGCTGGCCTCCCGAGGGGTGGGATGGGGTGGGGGGGCGGTTTCCAGGTTGAAGGTCCCGTTTAATGGCGCTGGAAACCCGCAGGGTGAGCTCTGAGGGACACAGCCCTGTCCCTCTGTCCGGGGCTGGGCGCTGGGAGCAGAGGGAGGTCGAGGGGCACTCCCTTCCCTGCTTTCCGGCAGTTTCGGGGACTGCCTGAGTCAAGGGAATACCTTTCTGCTTAACAACCCCTGGTGAGTGTGCCTTCCGAGCGCTGCTTGCCGTTGGAGTCCTAGCAGGCGGTAAGTGCCCGTGATATCTGGAAGGAAGTTCCTCCCCACGGTGGCTGAATCTTCTGTGAAGAACCGAAAGGACCGCTTTTGTTTGGGAGGGTGCGTGTGTGGGTTTTTGTCAAGCCTGCCTTCAGGTAATTTGTTAATTTCTGGCTCTTGTGAAAGCCATAGTATACTCTTCTTCCCTGTGCCACTTGTAACTTTAGTTTTCTACTGTATTCAGTCTTTGTGTCTTCCTGTAGGCCGAAGAGCCAAAGTCTAGTTTACTTCATGGGTCGTAGCTCTCCATAGCTCTGTTTATGCTCATTAGCTATTTCTGGATCTCTTCCATTTCGCGTTTCTGCTTTTGAATGGGGAAGACGATCATATCTTTCCCTGCATTTGAGATGCTGGCATTCCATGGACGTATACACTGGTGTAGAAGTACTTAAGTTTTACAGTTTCTAACTTCCTGATAATGCCTTGTGTTCTGTTTAGCTCAGTGCTCGTTGGAAGTAAAACATTTTAATACTTTAATGAATCTACTTAGTGTCATTTGAGAACTGTCTTCTTGAGTTTCGATAGCTCAAAATCTGTCATTTTAAAGGGAAAGATAGGATTGCTTTTAATTACTAAAAGAAATACAATAGATGGAAATGAGTAATGGCCTTAGCAAGTGTTTTTATTCCCCACATCATTTAAAAATTCCAAGCAAGTAAAAAAAAAAAAAAAAGTCTTACAGAAGTCTTATGACGTTGGTGCTGTCTCATGAGAATAGAGATAAGCAGATGGACTCTGGCACTTGGCCGTGCAGCTGCCATCCTGGACTCAGTGAAAATTGATTCGTGTTGAATATAAGCACTTTGAGGTGAATATTGCTAAATGACAAATCAGTGTTGCCAAATCAAGGAACAACAGAGCTGTGACTTGGTGATATAACTTCAGTGTTACAGATAGAAGGCATGTTTCATCTCACAGCCTGTTATGGGGTTAAGAGGCTTTTGTGGGAGCTTGGTGAGGGGAATCTTACTCCGACTAGGATCTAGAGTGTTAAGGAAAAAGAGGAATAGGTGGTACTTCAATTAGCCAGACCTCTTCCTCACCTTCCTTCCCTTACCACCCTTGTAGCGTGGGACTTTCTGCCCCTCTGCAAGGACTCCTGCAACTGCCGGCTTCCTAGGGCTGACCCTGCATACCTGGCATCTCCCAGGCTCTGCAACAGCATTTTTCAGGGGAGAGGGTACAAACTTTTTTGTCTGCCTCCTCTGCTTTCTCAGTACAGAACAGAGGTGTGTGTAGCACTGTATGAGCCACGGGGATGGAGTGGGACTGAGATGGTACGTGTGGTAGCAGCGTAGCAGAGTTCGACCGATTTATTTGAGGCCATGTTCAGGATGGTGTTATGTTGCAGTACCAGGATAGTACTGCTGCTTAGTGACTTCAGTTTTCTATAATTTCAGAGCTGTGATTCAAAAGTGGCAGTGATGCTTTAGATCACCATTGCAGTTGGGTGATTTGAAGCTTTTAGGCAAAGCCATAAGTCTGAGTATAGGGGGAGAGAAAAACGCGTAGTCTGTAAATTTGTCTTTTGCGAGCTTGTGGTTTTAGTTTCAGAAACAAAACTGAAAGTGATTGCACTTTTCTTGTCTCACCGGCTGTATCTGGCCTGCAAATTTGATAGTTCTTTTTCTTTCCCTGTGAGTGCACTGTGGAACAAAGGAGTCAGGGAAAAAGTTGCTTATACTAAGATCACACACTCTGCGTAAGCGTAAACTGAAACAAAGTTACCTGAGGCTTCAAATGGGAAAACCAAGGAAATCTCAGGTATAAGATAAGTGATTTAATAAATCTTAGTTTGTCTTTAATGATTTGAGCTACAGTTTTCAGAATATTTTAAGAGCATACTGATCAATATAGAGAATATACTGATCAGCTGGGAGACTTGCTGTATAGTTTGTTGGTGGACAGAAAAATCTTTGTGGTTAAAAATCATCAAAAACACCTGGAAGAGCTCGTCTCCATTGTTCACATGGTGTTTTGCAGTGTCCAGTATTTGTTATCCTAGAGACAAAAATCTCTAACAGAATAGGAGTCAGGTTTCTGGACCAATCCAGCAGATCACTTCATCTAATTCTGTCACACTGGCAGCCACAGCTGTTTTGGCTGGTCCTGGTGGCAAAAGTGCAAT